ATGTTTTTAAATAGGTAGCATAAACAAGATTTTAACTTGTATTCGAAAATAAGAATAATTAAGCATATTAAATATATCCATGAATGTGTGCAAAGAGCAAATATTATGTAATTTGTGAGAGCGTTAATTTGGTTTGAGAGTTGAATGTACATGTTTTTTGTGTGAGGTTATAAAAATAGTCGAGCGTGTATATATTATTTGTTTGTAAATATTTTGTGGGTTGATGTGTTAGTAGTTTATAAACTAGTATATCGTCTGCTTACTGGTAAAACAAGATAAATGCATTTTGTTACTAAATCGAGTTAAAAATGCAGTAACATGTAATTTTTTACGCGCTATCTGGTGGTAAAACCGAATAAATGCAGAGTCCAATGACTGCAGAGATAAAGAGTTTGTAAAAGTGATATCTTCACACATTTTGAAAAAATATACCAGTATAACATAATAAATAATCTTATTCTTCTTCTTCTATTCGTTTCAGTTTATACAGTTAAACAACAATAAATACGGTTAAAGCTTTTACACTTTATAATTTAAATAGTAAAATGGTAAGTATTTTTCTGTGAAAAGATCATAAAAGCATTTATTATTATGAACCATATAATTTAAATACCATGACTATAATAAAGATATTTATTCCATTTTACCAATTAAATAGTGCTACTTGGTTTGCTAATGTATCTACAGCAAAAACGAAATAAATGTCATTTATGCCTTTTTTACCTGTAGGAACAAGAGCGATCGATCGCAGTTGTAATATTGCGTGCGCGCGTGCTCCACGTGCTCAGCGTAGAAATAAAAGTTTTAATAGGTCAATAGTTTAGTAAGAAGTTGTTTTTTATTATAACTATGGAATCCAGAGGAAAAAGATTAGTGACTACGATAAATAAACCAAAAATACGTAAAGGTGATTTAAACTCTAAATTTTATATAACAAGGCTAAATTTTAAGGTTATATTAGTAGCTTTTGTTTTGTTCAACGATTTCCTTATGGAATGTTTGCTCGTACTCGTATAGTGTTTTTAGTACGTACATAGCTTTTTTACAATGTATGTAGGTTCGTACAAAGTTTGTATGATTTCTAACTCCATTTTTAATGTGAGACGATATGTGTACGATTATGCTAGACTTTGTTCGTTTCAAAAATGTACGTAATTCTTGTTTTAAGTAATTACTTGAGTGGGTATATGGCTCCGTAATACTTATGTCGGTACCTAAAATGTTTCTATTATACTCACTTTCTTTCCATTGTTAACACAGAATGATGAGTTATTGTCAAGGTTAAGCGCACGATTCATTGTTTGTTTACATTATAATCTTGTAATTATCTACTTTTGTTTCTTTTTAATTTTTTCACAGATGACTTGGATGAAAAGCCTGGCCCTTCGCATCAAAGGTTTTGTAGCCCGTCTTCGAACTGTACTTCGGCTTTGAGCGACTCTAAGGAGAGAATAGTGGCGGAAATGGAGCGCATGTTTGACAGCGATGACTCTGATAAAGATCCCACTTATAACCCGGATCCAAGCTTTTTATTACAACCAGAGGATTTATTTAAAGAACAATGGGCGAATAACAAGGTTGAGAACTTAGAAAATGTTATGCGATTATATGGAGACGATCATGACGAAGAATTTCAACCTAACGACGGCGACGTTATGATCGCACAGGTGTTGCCAACATCTGATGCACAACAAGTCGTAATATCTCTTTGGGGACTCTTATTGAAAGGGGTATTCGATTCTACTCGGAAAAGGAAACGTTGGATGAAACCAGAACCTGAAAATTGGAAAGTTAATATCGCGAAGAAAGGACGATCTGAAGGTTTAACTTATTCAACGAGAAAAAAAGATAGGAGGGCTAAAACACCAAAAGAGGTTGACTGTGAGAAATTTTTCTATAAATGTAGTGTAATCTCTCCAGATGAAATAAATAATTTATGTCATCACTACTGGAGTTTGAAGTATACCGAGCAAAAGAATTTCATTCTCGGTAATGTGGAAGTAGATACTCCGAACAGAGTTCTTGCTATTCGTGGACCAAAGAAATAGCGTCAATTCACAAAAAGATGTTTCTTTTTTCACAACGGAGAGAAGAAGCAGGTATGTCAGAAGTTTTTTTTGTTACACGCTAGCTATTTCTCCGACTGTTGTGAATGATGCTATTCGAAAGCGGAATGATATGGGGCTATACAAGGATAGTGACAAGAGAGGTAAACATGAACCCCCTAATAAGACTAATGAAGCTGATGTAAACTTTGTGAAAAAACACATAGAGTCCTTCCCTGTCATGGAACCACACTACATAAGGCAAACTTCTAAGCGTCGTTATCTGGATGCTTCGTTATCCATCACGAAAATGCATCAACTTTATAAAGACAAGTGCACTGAAAATAATATGATTCCGGTATCTGAAATAACGTACAGAAGAATATTTTGTACCCATTACAATTTTAGTTTTTTGTTCCAAAAAAGGATCAATGTTTAATATGCTCCAATTTCAACAAAGCTAGTGACGACGAAAAACTAGTGTTGAAAGAGGAATACACGGATCATTTAGCAAGGAAAGCGTCCTGTTACTCGGAAAAAGCGAAGGACAAAGAAAAAAGCAGAGAAAGATAAAGAGTTTCGCTGTGTAACATTCGACTTACAAGCTGTGTTACAGATACCTTCTGGACTGGTGGGACAGCTTTATTATTATCGAAAACTATGTGTTTACAATCTCTGTATATACGAAGTAGCGCTGACAAACGACGCATATTGTTTTGCTTGGTCCGAAATTAATGGGAAACGAGGCAGTTTCGAAATTGTTAGTATCCTGTACCACTACCTTTGCACGTGCGTTCCTTCTCATGTTACCGAAGTTTGTCTGTATTCTGATACGTGTGGGGGACAAAACCGGAACCAATATGTTGCTGCATTACTTATGTTTGCAGTCCAAAACATTTCTCACTTACGAAAAATTTAACATAAGTTTCTTGAATCGGGACACCATGCACAGCAGTATTGAGTCAGCAAAGAAAAATTCTGAGGTTTACTGCATGCCTGATTATTTATCAATTTTCAAACGAGCAAGATCGAAAAAAACAATAACCGTTGAAGGTAATTCGTTCATTAAAACGCCCTACAAAACGAAAGAATTTAAATACAACGAATTTTACGATTTAAAAAAATAAGCTGATGAAACTGTTTTCAATAGCTCAAAAGATAATAATGGAAATCAAGTGAAGTGGCTCAAAATAAAGAGAATACGTTATCTTCAGGAAGAGAGCTCCAAAATTCATTTTAATTATGACATGTCTGAAACGTTTCTTATACATCGATGTCTCAAAAAATACGGAACCTTCTCAACGTCTCAGTACTAGAGCTAAAAAACGCAAAGAAACCACTACGCCTCAGACTATTGTCTTAAAACACCTTTACTTGAACCCTTTACCCATAAGTGAAGCTAAAAAAGAGAGATCTTCTAACTTTATGTACTAAAAAAATAATTCCCGAGGAATACCATGGTTGGTACTCTTCTCTACCAACTGCAACCAATCAAGCAGATCGTTTACCTGAACCTTCGATTGACGAAGAGTCATCAGAAGATTAAGGATCCTTAATGGAATTAAAAGCAGTTTACCTAAAAGGATTCGTTTTAATTCATTGACTTTTATTGTTCTTCATTAGTGATCGGAGATTGATTGGCATAATTATGTGTTAAGGAATAAAATTGGTTGATTATTAAAAAATTGTTTTATTTATTATCGTTTCATAAATTACCTATGTAATAATTAATTTATTTTTATTTAATTGATCACTTTTGTATAATGTTTATAGTACCTAATAAGTGACATAATTACACTAAAATTCTACAGGCAAAACAAGTTAAAAGTATCAAAATTATCATTATTTAAGCGAACTTTCAAAAAAAAATCTTTCCTATCAAGCTATTGGTGTAAAATACAATAAGCCATTATATAAAACTGAAATGAGCTTTTAAAGTCAATGAATTCAGAAGATATATTATCACGTTTATTAAGTACAGGTAAAACATATTAAATGCGGTCCTCTTTCGATCTTAATTAAATTTTATACAATTTTTACTAATATTAAATGTTATATAAGAGTAAATTTTAAAAGAAGGGTTGTTAGTGCAAAATTGTGCTTAAACAATTTTTTATTCATGAGCTTAAAATAGATCAAATTAAAACTTAAACTTTGAAAAGTCATTTACTCAAATTGACACTAACTGCACTTATTACTTTTTACCCGTAAGCAGACGATATTATAAAAGTAAACAGTGGGTACTTTAGAATACACACAGAATAATTTTGTAAACATAAAGCCAGAGACACACTTAGTTAGACATGCAAGCAATTTATAAGAAATCATAATTAAATAGGTTATGCATAATATTATAAATGTACCTAGTCATATTATATTTTTTAAATTTGCAATATCATTTTCATTTTTTATTTCTATCCGAGCGCCACCTTCAGTTTTCCGCAAATAAATTCGGCCCTTATTAGTCCAGCAATAACGCTGTATCACGTGCTAAAATATAAAGTTTTCGGTCCTTCTTTGTTAAAATTTCAGATATATATATATCGGCATTGTAGAACTAGAGAGACCAGTGGATTTTGAGGAGAGTTTATTGTTAATCTTAATTTTATTAAACTCTTTCGCTCCACTTAATATCTTATTTTTTGACAGTACCGAAGTTAACTCGGTGATGACAGTAGACACACCGGCTTTAGTTTTAATTCTGTATATGTCTTTTATCTCGAATGGGTGAAAATTAACATTTAAAACATCGCAAATCTTTTGAACCAGATCACATAAGTCTTGTTGTGTCTCCTGCTTTATGTTTTGTGCTGGAGTAGGTAAATTACGGAACTCGATGACTGTGGACTTAAGCCTTTTTTGCACGTCTTCTAATCTATTTTCCAGACTCAATATATAATTAAAATTTTCCTTTCGTTCACGTTCTAAATTGATAATTTTAGTGTTCATATCTTCCTACTGTGTGGATATGAACGTTAACGCTTTTTCCATTTCAATATTAGTTAATTGAATGTTGGAGTTTTGTTGCTTAAGTTCGGCAATATCTGAACACAATTTACTCAAAATAAGATCTTGATCCTTCTTCCAATTGGTGAGCATGGATAATAGTTCATCTTTAAGGGAATCATCAATACTTTTCCTTTGATCTTCATTTCTGGGTTTTTTCTGTCTCCTCCCTACATAATTCAGTGGATTTTCAGGTTCAATGTTTGAAATATCACTCTCCGACGACACTTGATGCACTTTACTTCCTGGGGGTGATCTACGTATTATCGACATAATGATATATTATTTAAGTCCGTAGTTTTCGTTGTGGCAGAAGTACACTATAAGTAGGTTGTTCAGAGAACAAAAGATCCACGACCAGTCATGTCCTACGCCGGCCCCGTCTTTGCCCACGCAAACCCTAACATTTTAAATGAACTCCAAATAGTTCAGAACCTATTCTGTCGTCGAGCTGCGAACGCACCGTGGTACGTTCGTAATGCCGACCTTCATCGGGACTTAGAGCTCCCAACAATTCAACAATTTCTTAAAAAACTCTCTGAGAACTTCTTCAAAGCCTCAGAGTCGCATCCAAACCATTTAATTCGTGAGGCAGCTTCTTATGCAGCCCCACCCCCCTCTCGCTATCGTGTCCGCAGGCCGAGAAACTCTCTCTCGGACCCGCCTAATAAACTTTCAAACGACCTGAACTGTCTCCTGGCGGCTCAGGCCAACTCTAATTAAATAAAATTATTGTAATATCTGACATTAATTTGCCTTCGTAGGCACTCCCTCAGCGGCACTTAGCCGCCTGCGCCCTCTTTTCCCAAAAGAGGGTCGCTCATGATAAGGCACAATAGAGCTAAATCAGCCGGTTGCCTGTCCCTAAAGGCGGTTTTTAGGGGTATCACTTAGGGTCCCCGGTAGGACAGTGAGTCCCCCATAACCACGATAGACCGGCTATCGTGGTATGCGTAATGCATTTTCCGCCTCCCTACGTACAGGGTAGCCCTTTAATTGCTTCGGGCGCAAAAAAAAAAAAAAAAAACAAAAGATCGGTCAGCAGATGTGCAAAAAACAAATGTACTACGATACACACACAGTCACGGATAGATACCACATTGATTATATGAACTCCTAGTACTTCGCTGTTAATTAAAGTTGACGGTTATTTAAAAGGAATATTTAATTAGTGTAACTAACACACGTCTAATAGCAACCACAGTCAGAGGAGGAAAAAAATGGCATCACTTTACTGCTGAATTTTGAACGGCAAGGCTTTTTACATATAATTAAAAAGTTCATTAGTTTTCATGTGAAAATTAAATGGTGTAGATTATACGGTATAATCAATGAAGATAATTGCTCCCAAAATCGCATTGATCATTACTATTTACAGTACATCCGAAAACAACACCACCACAACCTCCACCATAATTTAATATGTTGTCCGAATACAAGACGTTATCAGATAATTTATACAGTTGGCTCATCGTTGGTTTCTTGTTTTAAGTATTATGAAGTACTGCAAGGTAGGCCTTGATTTCATAAATAACAGAATTTGTGTTACCAGGTCTTAATTTTTTTAAACAGCGGTGCCCTCTAAGCAGGAATCCCCAAATAATCCCCTGCAACTGCTTTAGCATACTCTGCCAAAGGAACGCTTGAGTGTTTTTCTACGCAGGTTTAAACATCTCGATATAATTCCGACTATATTATTATTATTTATTTACAAAATTCAAACATACAATCTTTTAGGATACACATTGATACACAAGTGGGCCAATTGCTTCTCACAGTTGTTCCATCGAATTCGACAATGCATAGATCTGGTAGGAAACATCTTCGAGAAATAATTCATAAATATGTAAGGAATATATTAATCTAGTTGAATTATTATTTTCTAATATAGTCTAGTCTTTGTTAAGGCTGGCCGCCGTGACCGAAATCCGATTTGGGGGACATTATTATTATTATTACACTGTGTATTAGTTTTGACTTTATAGAATGTGTATATTATTTTGTTCTTTTTAGTATTTTGAAGTCGACTTTCATAATATCTTTTCTATACGTATATAAAATTCAATTGCCTATTTTCATGCAAATTTTTGTGTTTTAGTGGGTACTTGAATGGGTTAAATTTACAACAGGATCCGGTAGATGACGCTGTTGTCGAAATCTAAAAATCACCCATTTTAAGCCTAAGGAATATGTTTCATTTAAAGGTTAATTTGAGTGCAGTAAACATATAAATAATACAAGATTCAACTGAAACTTAAACATTTTTATTTATTCTAGCAATCAATATTCCGTTACAAATCACTATCTGTTTAAAAAAAACGCTAAAGGGGATCGAATAAATTTGCATGACAAATGCGTGTCACAACGAAGTATTTTATTTTTCGAAGGAAAATATGACGACCTAGCCCCGTCGGAGTTTCGAGTCTATTTCCATAAATAATAATCGAGAACATTGTCGGAAGATTTTTATTCGCTCCAGCAATTTGCATGTCCTTCTTGGAGCGAATAGAAGTGGGATCACAAAGCGTGTGCTTCATTGAAATCAAATTTATTTTATATTCGAACATCATTAATTTATTTTGCGATAGTCGGCTTTATTTGGTAAACTATACATAACATTGTTTACGATTTTATATCAAGTGTTATGTTTTATCTACAAAAGCATTGTGTTTTCGATCGAGTTTTGATGAGTTTTTTTTTTTAAATACATGCCGTAGACTTGAGCTTATATCGAGATAATTTTATCGAGATTTAGTATTTACAATTAATTCGTTTTTTAGTATTAAGTGTAACAGACGAGCACACAGTTCACCAGATGGTAAGTGGATGCTGTGGCTCATAGAAATCTTCATTTAGCCTCGAATAAGTATCAAAATGCAGAGGCATTGTCAGTCGTAATAATGAGAATGGAATACCTTGTTTACAGTAAAAATGGTCTACGGTTCTCTGCACTCACCTTACGAAATACAGCAGCCTTAAGCTGCTATTTTATTCCGGTATTCTGCGAGAGCTTGGCCTCGGCTGGCGCTACCCCAGTAGAACCGACCCATTCGTGCTACAATATAGCTGCAGCGTGGCTCTACCAACCATTATACTAACTACAGCGATATGTGGTCTATAATCACCACCGAGCACTTGTTAAATTAGTTTAGTAGTAAGTATAGGGATAGAACTTAGATTGCTCACATTATATACATTATAAATAATACTTATCGAAAGTTATTCTTTTATTTTTACTGATGGATGAGAAAAAGCTATGCCCTGGGAAACAACAACAAGAAACCCAGCGGGATCATTTATAATGTTTACAATGGGTGCGTTTGGCAGAAAAAAGCGCTAGCAAGCGCTTGTAAGCAAAATGGCGATCGTAAGCGGTAAGCGCTGTCAAATCGTAAGTAGCTATTTTCCTCCAGGACACGATGTTAGTTTTAACCCCCGGTTACCTACCTAACCTAATTTAAATATATGTTTGTAAAGTATTCATATTAAAAACTTACCAATCATGAATTTTTAATAACATGTATATGTTTATTCATGTCATTATATTACTTAAAACTAATATTGCACAAAACAACTTATAAACTCTACTTCAAAACAAACAAATTAAATAAGCAAAATGGCGGATTGTGTCACCAGCGCTACTGAAGTAGCCATCGTGTCCTGGCCGAAAACTATTTCAGCGCTTATAAGCGCTTGCTAGCGCTTTTTTCTGCCAAATGCACCCAATGAAACAGAATATTAATTTTGTATTTAGTCTTTTATATAGATGTAAATTCTTACGCCTATCATCTAGTGGGGTAGACCTGGACTACCGACTGTCATTTGCTACGTTCCTGATAAAATTCACTTCTTTTTTAATAAAGTAAAGTAAAGTAACATTTTGGAATTTGGACGTCCTTCTGCTAGGACTTATCTCTCATTTTTGAGAGTATTTATGAGCAATCGTTTAGTTTGACAATGCTGCAGGTCGGACTTCATATGTCTTCGAAATATATTTTTATTGCTCAAACATGCAAGTTAACTTACGAATTTTTCCATTCACTGCTTGGGATATGCGTTAAAAACATCACTTAAATTGCAATTAAACATTTTGCCACCAATATTTAACGGAGAATTAACCCGGGTTGCTCGCGCACTGTTAAATGAACGGCGAGTGATTAGCCCCACGACTACCACGGATAATCATAGTGTGTTATAATATTTGCATATTTCATATCTTCATAAATATCATAATCATTATAAATATCTTCAAAGGAAATATTAATATTTATTTCAGTAAATATTTTACTGTCACACGTTTTCCCATTCTCGTTTTTCCTTGCCATCAGTTACTTTCTTTGCGACTCTGCCGTTCACTTCTGCAACATAAATTATCTTTGTCACTCTTTTCTCATTCATTCTTCCCACATGACCAAACCACCGAAGCATTCCTTTCTTAATCCTGGTCACAACATCATCTTGCTAACCTCACCCTTCTATTATCACACAATTTCTCACCCTGGCATTCAGATTCATCCTAACATCCTTCACGAACGTTTAATTATAAACCATGACCTTTCATATCGTATAGAGATGGGGTAAATAAAATTAAATCATGATTTCTTTTATTTGCGCGGATACTATAAATTAAAAAAAAAACTAAGTAATATAATGGTATCGCCTTTAACTATATTTTTTTTACTTCTTCCCGCAAAACGCAGTTTTTTATTATTTTGGATGGTTATCAGGAAAATGCTGTTACCCATCTCCTGTTTCACTTTCCCTCTCTCGCCTCTCGATCACTCCTTAACAACCGCATTTCTACTGCGTTTATTCTACTCTCGTGCTTCTTCAGCCACACCCAACTTTCACTACCATACGTTAAAGTAGGTATCAATGCAGCACTGTGAATTGCCATACGTGCCCTTTTTGACACATCTTGACTTTTCACAATAGAGTGTAGGGCCCCATTTACTCTATTTATTTGATACAAATATAAAAATAAAAATAGTGATAATAATGACACCCGTGGTGGTATTAGCAGTAGTATTGGTAATTGTTGGGGCAGTCGAACATCCATAGTGACGATGATGGGAATGAAAACAAAGAAAGTAACTGATGGCAAGGAAAAACGAGAATGGGAAAACGTGTGACAGTAGAATAGTAACTGAAATAAATATTAATATTTTCTTTGAAAATATTTAAAATGATTATGATATTTATGAATATATGAAATATACAAATATTATAATACACTGTGATAATAGAAGGGTGAGGTTAGCAAGATGATGTTG